CGAAAAAACGGGGATGATCGATCACCGGACGGTCGAACTGCACCGAGTCGGCCGCTAAAAAAATTCTTCCCGATGACAGTGCGAGCATTCAACCGCGGAAATCGGTTGATCCCATTAGCGGGCCTGATGCATATTTGCTTGATGAGCCGTGGCCGGCGCGAAGAGGAAGAAGGGAGCCTAGAAAAAGCGATCCGCCATGTGCGCGGACCGAACTTACTTCCATTGCGGTCGCGGTGCAAGCGGGATGCTTGCCTTCGAACCGGGGCGAACAATATCGCGTCGCGTGATCGGCGTGTGTGCCACGCACCAGTAGCTCGCGGATCGGTAAACGAAATACACGTGTCGGCGGGATTCCGACGGGAACAACCGTGCAGTACCGTACCGTACGCGCGAGAGAAGATCGACCACTTGTTGAGGAAGGGTTCTCTCTCTCTCTCTTACTCTCTCTCTCTCTCCGATTATTCGCGCGCCGCGGAGAACTTTCATGAAAAATGAAGGATCTCGCGGAGGAACGGTGACGAACGGCGAGCTGGAAGCTTAATCGGTTACTCCGTTGTTCCGTCGAGCGCGAATGATACTTTACAATCCTCGAAGAGGGATGGGGCCGAAGATGAATCGGTGGATCGTCGCTTTTGGGCTGCTCCTGGTGCTGATGCTGCTCGCGGACGCGTCGACGGCGAGCAACAGCACGTGGGAGAAGGCGAGGGAGAAGAAAGCTAAGATAGTGAAGAAGCTGAAGAAGGACTTCCGGAAGCTGAAGAAGCAGGACGGCGCGGTGAAGCTCGTGGGAGGGGAGAGCAGCCACGAAGGTAAAGGGATCGAGTGATTGATGTCGATTCTGGGATCTTGGAGGGAGACTCTTGTAACTGGTTGTTGATAGTTTGGAAGGTGGTTTTTGAGTTTAGATGTCTGGAATTAGATCTTTGGTTGCCCAGTTTTAGACAAATTGATCTTGTTGAATTGAAGTTAGTCTGGAGGAAGATAGATGCGCATTAATGCTGACTTCGTTGTTTGTATCTAGAGATTCAACTGTTCACGTTCGACTATCAATAGCAATTACGATCAGGGAGCCGTTTTATGTAACACGATCCAATGGATTTTCTTATTATTAGCGGAAGGAAATAATGGAACTCCTTTCTGCATCGTTCTAGCGAAATATTCGTTGCCTCTGAATTCGGAGGTCCGAGCTTTGACTTTTCGAGCGTTGCATCTTGATATCTCGAGTCTCGGAGCTTTTCGTGTTCCGAGCTGCCGAGCCTTGACGATAAAAGTATGGCGCGCGTCACTAGAGCGCGTGAACTGTGCGAAGACACCAGGAACAAAGACGGAGACTGGCGTCGGTACATTTGCAGCTTTATCTGCCCCTCGTGAAGCAAGTTATGCAATGCCGATTAAAAAGGGGTCAACTCGAGGATGATTTATGTCAACGACTATGTGTCAGCGTAGTAAACGTCACGTAGCCGGAGAACCGCGGGTCACGAGTATGGGTACGGGTCACCCGTCAAATTGGACCATAAAACAGGATAGAATCCGTCCCAGACGTTCGCATGTCAATTTTTATTGCCCGCCACCGGGTATATTACATTCCGGGGGCGTTCTTCCTTCTGTTTCGTGTTCCCGATCAATTTGCCGCCGGACGAAAAAAATGTTTCCCTTTATTCTTTGCAAGAACAATTTGCCCCGTCGACGCTCGACTGATTATTCGATTTCCGTAAATCATTTTTTCTTCTTTCTTATACAGCGAGGGGTGACTTCGCCGTTACGGGCTAAACTCCGGGGCCACCGTGAAATATTCGAATCACGTTATCACTTAACGCTCGTGTACAGGCATTTTGATCGCGTTGTTTCTTGGGTTTGTTTATTCTTTACGTTAATAGCATGCGATTTCAGAGACGACGAAAATGAATCGGTCGAAGGAGATATTCAAAAAGCAAGAAACATGAAATTAAACTTTTCGAGTTAACCTCAGACTGCAAGATAACGTTTATAACGAATCTTCTTTAACACTAGATTTACGGATATTTATTTTATGCTTTATTCTATTGTTCTTAGAAGGCTACTCGTTTGTTACATAGATCGCGGAAATTAATGTCTCGAGAATGGAGGATTATAATGTGTATTCTCAAGACTGCATCAATGAAGATCTTTAAATAGACACTTCTTAAAGCTAACTTAACTAGAAATCACATGTAAATTAAAGAACAAAGCTATTTTATTTTAATACTTCACATATTGATTCATTATACACGGATTTCATTGTATCTGTAAAATCAACAAGGGCAGAAGGTTGAATTGTTACGAAATAATGTTCAAGAAATTCAATATCCAAATTAACGGTTACCGTAAATCTAGCGTTAACATATTGCGTACCGGTTAATTTTCAAAAAACTGAATTGTGCGGATGGAAATTTTCACTGAGGTCAACTTATATCACTATACATAGAAAAACTCAGATATCATATTGTTATGTAATATATTTTAAGTACATAATCAATTCGAATTAAATTTTATATTATTTTCAATGCTGTGGTAATTAGCGAAGTTACATAGCTAAGTTTTTACATAAAAACGAGATTTCTCGTTACCAGTACGCAACGTGTTAACAGACACTGTGAAACAGACAGTTAAGAAACATCCGCATCAAATCTTCGAGGACAAAAGAAACACAGTTCACGGGAACTGTGACCTTCGCGTTTACGGCCGCCATATTGTTTATCAGCTCTGATCGAGAGCTGCGAAATGGCGGCGCTACGCGCGGAGCTGAACCGAGTAATTTCCGCGGTGGTCCGTAAAGTTTACTGCGGGCTGACGGAACCGGAAAACTGTGAGCTCATAATTCGATTGGTGCGCAGGAAACGTGGAAATACTTCACGACGGGAAATGGGGCAGCGTGTGCGACGACGAATGGGATTACTTGGAGGCCAATGTGGTTTGCAGGCAATTAGGCTTCGACGGTGCAATTAAACCGACGGCGAACGGTCACTTCGGCCAGGCCAGAAGTGAGATAATATTGTCTCTTCATTGTAGCCAATAGTTCCTCCACCGAACGTCTCCGTTAAGCACGATCTTTTTCTCAGTATTATGCCGGGAATATTGGAGTCCATTCAAATTATCCGACAGCTTTCCGGTATAAATCTTATCATATCGATCAAAACACAAAAAACCGAATACCTATAATCTCGTTTATAAGCAGTTCAGCTATTAAGTCTAGTCGAGGTACGAAAATTCTTTTTACATTTTATACTGCAATAATCAGACTACGTTCAAATAAGATTCGAACGACAATTTTACAATTTTGGTACCGTTCGGCAGATACACGATCAGAAAGTCATTCAGAGATCGCAGTAATACCGAGCTTAAAACAGTGAAACATTCCTAACGAGAGATATCCGAGAAATCCAAGATAAGACAAATACTTTCAGTCGGACGCGAAAGATCGAGCTGCGAGGGGGTCGCAATAGCGCCGAGGTAGGAACGGTGAAAGATTTCGAACGAAAAAAACTGGACATTCCTGAAATGCCAGAGGATAAGGTGAATACTTTCGGTCTGACCTAAAAGATCGTGCCCGGAAAGGGTTGCAACGGGACGAGGTGGGGGCGCGCGGGGCGGTCGCGAAGCTAAGAAGTCGTCGGAAACGTTCCAGGAAGATATTGGATGGACAACGTGTACTGCGACGGGAGCGAGGACGAGCTCTCTAAATGCCGGTTCGACGGATGGGCCATTTCCGACTGCGAGAGCAGCGAGGCGGCCGGTGTAATTTGCGCCCGCGGAGGCCAGGACGAGGTGGGGGAGACCACGGCCAAGAAGAAGCCCAAAAGGAAGCCGGAGAAGTCGAGAATCAAGGATATCCATCAGCAGGGAGTGGCGATAAGGCTGGCCGGCGGACGCGTGCACACCGAAGGCAGAGTCGAGGTCAAACTAGGAAACGCAGGTAGGTATATTGTCCACGTCAGTCAACGCGGACGCTCTCTGATGCCATTTTTCGAACGTCGAAAATGGAATTAACCCTTTGCAGTGCATTGACGACTTTGAGTTGTTATTCGATTTGATGCAGAAATATTATGGAGGATACTATTTAATGTTGAGTTTCGTATGATGTATTAATCTCGGAAGTATTTTGCTAGAAATATTTAACGCTTTGTGGACGAATGTCGACCTGTTTGCGAGATGAAATGTTCTCTTGCCATTTTTCGATCGTCGAAAATGGAATTAACCCTTTGCACTGCATTTAAGACTTTGAGTTGTCATTCGATTTGATGCAGAAATATTATGGAGGATAATATTTCATGTTGAGTTTCGTATGATGTATTAATCTCGGAAGTATTTTGCAAGAAATATTTAACGCTTTGTGGACGAATGTCGACGTGTTGGCGAGATGAGATGTTCATATTTGGAATACTAAGTTGAAGAGTGACTTAATTACTCAAACATCAAGAGACCAGTGTGTAGTTTTCTTTTCTTTTATTGTTTAAATATTCGATGGATAATTTAGCTTCAGATGTTGCAAGTTTTGTGTACTAGAATCTTTGTCCACAAAGGATTAATATTTTCTAATTAGACAAAGACGATGGTTTTCGAAATGAACTGAAAGAGGAAGCACAAGTGAATTGAGAAACAAAGCATTTTTACCTCAGTATTCCACACATCGATGCATTATACATAGTTCAACATTAAATATCAAATTTTATAGTTTCATTGCATCAAATCAAGAGACTGAGAGCCATCTCTCGAGTGCAAAGTTAAAATTCAACACTAAAACTACCGAGCAATTGCATTAACTTCTTTAAACTCCTTTATAGAAACTCCAAGACTGCACCTATCGAGACTTTAATTGATCTACAATAATTTCTCCGAGAAACATCTGTTACCTTTTTAATCATTATAAAATGAAAAAATCAGAGATCAATCGTTTTTGCCAGTAGCTTCAGTATTAAACTGAAACTCAACTCGTGTGTCCTGTGCTTTTCTTTGTAGACAGATGAATGTATCGAAGTTCTTTCATTGTTATTGTAACGTTCGATTGCTAAAGTGATTAAATCTTTAAAAGAATAACTATATCGTTCCATTTAGTTTGAATAAAATAGGAATAAATAGAGCGCGAATCTAATTCCAATCCAACGGAGTGTAACCGATGGGGATTCAGGTGTTAAGGGATTTCGTATCAACGCCGCGTGCCAATTTGAACGGCCGAGCCGGTCGCATTTACCTCCGCGCCGCGTATAATGCCGTCACCGGTGCAATTTTGTTTTAGATTGGGGTGTTGTCTGCGGTGACGGCTGGTCTCTGTTCGAGGCGGCGGTGGTTTGCCGGCAATTGGGCCTCGGTTACGCCTCCGACGCCGTTCAGACAAACTTTTTCGGCGGCGGAGCGATCCCGATGGCCATCGCCGGGGTGCAGTGCCACGGCGACGAGAACAGTCTGATCGAGTGTCTCCACGACAAGGTTGTAGACTGTCCAGGTAAAATAAAATTTTAAACAGATTCTTCAGGAAAGAAAGGAGAATAAAGATTCATGGCGAAATGAAGAGAAAACTGTTGCATTAATAAAGATATCTATGTATTTAACGGATGAAATAGAAGTTAAAGAAATTGGATTATAACGATAAGATTCTGGAGTGACCACGAAAATCAAATTTTGAGACAAATGTCGAAATGAGGAGAAAACTACTGTATTAATAACGATAGATGTATATTTGAGTGATGAAATAGAAGTTAATGAAATTGGATTATAACGATAAGGTTCTGGACTGTTTAGGTAAAATCAAATTCTGAGACAAATGTCGAAATGAAGAGAAAACTACTGTATTAATAACGATAGATGTATATTTAACAGATGAAGTAGAAGTTAATGAAATTGCATTATAACGATAAGGTTCTGGAGTGTCCAGGAAAATGAAATATATATTTAACACGTACAATGGTGGTTAATGAAATTGGATCATTCTATGCAGATATAAATTTATCCAGAGATGGAATTACATTAGACTGTGAATTTTTAGTGATTCCTTGTAACAAATTATCATTGTTGATTATTTGGATCAAGTAAATATGAATATTATTTTAGCCTTTGGTCAACCTAATTTATATCTGATTCATATGTACAGTGAATATGAAGTAATTCTTGCAAGCATAATTAATGAAGAAATTACAGGAAGTTCAAAAGAAGATCTAAGCACATTTGATCTACGCTCACGAACTGTCAACGTAGAGAGCTCTGAATTCGTTATGTAAATCCGTCTTAACACTAAACCGCGAAGAGCCTTTGATATTATTAAACGAAGCCGTTTTTCCATTTAAAACAGATGCCTCTTGATATCATTACACTAAGCCAATAGCTGGGAAGGGTCATCGAATTATCGTGCAACTTAACACTTCGACCGCGATGCATTTAACACAGATATTCGAACAAGTTGTCCAACCACGAACAAACATATAACAGTAAAATACACTGCACAATTACATAAAGCAACTAGAACACATTTATTCAACGAAACATAAAGTTCAATTGAAATTTAATTCAACGGAACATCGAATGTAATATAACCCATTCATCTCGAAAGTGACTTAAGTCCATTTCTCCAAGGAATCAAGTTAACCGTTACAATAATTGCAATTCTACATAATCTGTTTATCCTTTAATAGTTTTCTAATCGAACATCAATAAACCGAATATAAATTTAACTGAACGAAACATTAAATTTAACTGCACGAAACGAACACTGAATTTTATAATCGTACTTTTCATTCTAATAAAAGTCAAATATCCCGCGCGGTTTGCTTTCAAACTATTTAAACATTACACTGCCAATTATTTGTTTAGAAAGCAAACTCACGTCCACGCAATCATGTCCGTTAATCGTTAACTAACGAAATCACCTGTACGTGACACGGTGCCCATGAAAGTATTCACTTCGACGTGAATTGTCGAGTACGGTCACAGCCTCACGGTACACCAGACGGTTTCATAATGAGACAGACGGATATGATGAACGCGGTACGTTCGCGATGGCAGGAGATACGTTGGATTCCTGGTTTCATTGAAAAGGAAAGGAATGCCAATTGGCTGACGGGCGGAAGGGCTCGCCGAGTGTTAAGATTAAAGAATGACAAGTACGGTCTCGGTTGGCTCGGGATTCGACCGGAGGAATTTCAAAGAGGAATCGAACCCGTTCTCGAGAAAAGAGGATTCTCCTTTCCAGATTGGGGGTTTAATAATGTCTGCGAACGGACAACTCGAACGATTGAATTTCATTCGACGAACCGGAGGGGCAGATTTCCCCGTCATCGTTACGATTGAATTCTGTAATCTACGGGGAATAAGAGTAGACGATTTTACATTTCGAATTCGACGCAAGTTTTTAATTAGTTCCCAACTTGCCGAGGAAGGTACCGTTCTGTACATTATGGAGCTTGTCTCGTTGAGATAAGAGCCGAAGTTCTTAAGAGATCCGCCGAGCAATTCGGTTAAAATGTATGGCGAATTTTAGATTTTTGGGATAATAAGAAGAGCGGTGCTCTTAAAACGGGATATTGAATTTATTTTCGAGGTTTCGACGTTATTCGATGAATTGCGGAACTGAAGTGCGCCTCGAGTTTAGGATCGATGATACATTCATTTCTCTTTGGTGTGTTAGATTTTTGAGGGAATAGGAGATTAAATGGAACTGAAACTTTATTAACACTAAGCTGAAAACTAGAGACTAATTTTGATAGAGATGAACTAGAAACTATAAACTAAAGTTTTAGTAATACTGAACTAGAAACTAGAAACTAAAATTTTAATAATATTGAACTAGAAACTAGAAACTAGACTTTTGCTAGTACTGAACTAAAAATAGAAACTAAAATTTTGCCAGCACTAAACTAAAGACTAGAAACTAAAATTTTGCTAGAACTGAGCTGAAAACTAGAAACTAAAGTTCTACTAGAATTGAACTAAAAATTAAAAACTAAATTATTAATAATTATTTTCAATATCACCTGCCTTTGTTATTAAAGAATAAGTATTACTATTCAAAACGCTAGAAATTCTCGTGGCAGTCAACGTGTTAACTTTATCGCCCATACAATTAGAGATTTTTCAAACAAGATTCCACAGTTAATAGGAGAATTACATAAAAGATACACGAGTAAAACGTACCGAATACAAATGTTTAAACGCCAATTACCGATACGCGCGAAATAACATTTCCTCCTCTAGGAATCGCAGAAAACGTGGCGAGCGTGGTCTGTCACCGGGACATGCCGGACTTGGTGTTCGATCATCTCGAACTGATGCGGACCGCTCATTTAGAGGACAGGCAATTGTATTGGCTGCAGTGCGCGATGGAGGAGAACTGCGTCGCGTCACCGGCGTACAGGATACAAAGGGAGTCGGAAAACTGGCATCTGGAAACAAGGAGGCTGCTCCGGTTCACCGCGAGGATACTGAACGCCGGGACCGCGGACTTCCGGCCCTCTGTCCCCAAACACCTTTGGGAATGGCATATGTGTCACATGTGAGTGATAAGCGTTTCACTCGACGGAAACGTCGCTGATAAAACGATGGTCAATCGGTTATCGGTCCTCCAACCTGTTCATCATTGGCCCCTGTCGACAGTATCGCGTTCGAAAACAATTGATCCTGTGTGTTTCAATCTCATTGATTGAACTTGCCGAGTTGATGTATAGAATAGGGTATGAAAAATTAGAGGAAACTAGAGGCTAGATGCTCGAGGAAGAATTGTTGATATTTTACAACTGTTAGAAGCTTGGTTTCGGATTTTTAGACAGTGGAGATGTAGATTCATTTTTAGTTTAAGTAGCTGTTGAAGAATGGTTGATGCTTTAATTGTTACAAGTTTGTTTGGTTTTGAATTTTTAGGCAGTGGAGATGTAGATTCAAGATTCTTAATTTAAGTAGCTATTGAAGAATGGTTGATGTTTTAATTGCAAGTTTGTTTGGTTTTGAATTTTTAGGCAGTGGAGATGTAGATTCATTTTTAGTTTAAGTAGATATTGAAGAATGGTTGATGTTTTAATTGCAAGTTTGTTTGGTTTTGAATTTTTAGGCAGTGGAGATGTAGATTCAAGATTTTTAATTTAAGTAGCAATATGTACTAGAATCAATTAAAGAGAAATATCTTCTTTGCTAATATTACTTTTAGTTCTACTAAGTAGTTTGTAACTTGGTTCTACTGAATTGTTTGTAGGAAAATCAACGTTAAACTCAATTTTGAATTTAAATTAGTGGAAAGATTGTGTTATCCGAGGTATGAACTTTAGTTGAATCTATTTCCTTTGCACAGAGAGTGAAGTTTTTGTTTTCTTGTCGTATTATTTCTGCACGAAGAGATTCAAGCGTCTATGTTACGTAAAGAAACCGTCAGAAAATCAGTGAAGCAGTAATTTGAAAATCATTGAAGTATCAATTGGTTCCGTCCTTGCGGGCTTGACTTTGAACATTGTTTCCGTCGTACTCGCTGAAATTGGACACGCAAACATTGAATGTTTTCCAGTTTGGTTATTTTCTCACGCTCTTGGTAGGAGTATCGCAAGATGTTTTGCGCAACTATCAGGGCGGAAGGGGGAGGAAAGTAATATAAGTCCGGCGGGGATGCCAGTTTCGAACTTATCTGGTGCAGCGTGCTGCCACTTTTATCAACCTTTGAGAATTTCTGTTTGATGTTTAGGAACTCGGTATATTAAAAACGGATACCGGTCATTGATCCCGTGGTAATTTATTTCATTGTAAGTTGTACGGGGGAACCAACTTTGATCGGTTTGTACGTCAGATACGAAGCTTGAGATTTTAGAGTGTTATCCCCCGGCTTACCAGGAACTTTCAAAATGACTTTACCAACTTCTGAAATCCCTTTAGCGATAACACACTTGTTTCAATTATTCTTCGTAACGTAAATCGAACTTATATTTCCAGAAACAGATATGTTTATTATTCCATCCGATAGGAAATCGGGAAGTATTTGATATCCAATGTCTCGATATAATTTGAAGAGTCGTAAAGTCTCTTGTCAAATGCTCATAGTATTTATAATTATTCATTTCAAATGTAATTCTCAAGAATTGCACGTTTTTACGACTTTATGACTCACAGTCGATATCTTCAAGGAATTCTCGAACCTCAACAGAAAATGGAACAGCCCTAAAATGAATGTTAAAATTTACAAAGTGGCATTGTTACCAATATAATTCATAATCATCACCTTGAGAAACCAAACATTAAAACAACGTTGTTACCAATATAATTCCCATTCACCACATTAAAATGTCCAAAATGGCGTTTCTACTAACACATTTCCCAATCACCACAATAAAAAAGCCAAACATTAAAACTTCCAAAATGGCTTTGTTATCAGTATAATCCTAATCACCACATTAAAACTTCCAAAATGGCGTTCTTACCAACATAATCCCAACCACCACATTAAAAAGCGAAACATTAACACATTGTTGACCGGTGACGAGTTAACTCGCGTTTGCACTGCCATCAGCTATTTCAATTTTTGAAACACAGGGCAATACAGAACATTGCAAAAGCAAAATCTTCAAAATTATATTCCAATTCATTATATGTAAATACAGTACATTGAAGTTCACTTGAATTGTTTCACTTTCATATTTAACCCTTTGCACTCGAAACTTTTTCACTAGAAACATTCAACGCTCTTCGATAAAATATAGACGATGCTTGTTGCGACTAACGTAAATAATTTAATCGATAAATTAAAGGACAAAACTACTTTACTCTGATATTTCACATAGTGACGCGTTATACAAAGTTTAGTGTTAAACATCAAACTTTATAATTTTACTGCATCAAACCAAGTGACTGAGAGTCACCTCCCGAGTGCAAAGGGTTAATTACGAAACAACCGGTGACATGAGATAGCTTGGAATTTCCGGTCAACAATATGTTAACACTAAAACTACCAGAGTGATCAAATGATCCATGCCTTTTTGCAATTATTAGAAAGGTAACAAATCTCTGAGAAATTATTAAAGAAATTCATTTAGCACTAGGCAAATTGAATTGCAAATCAATTGAAGTCTGAACAGATGCACTCTTGGAGTTTCCATAGCGAAATTTTGATAAGTCAATTGAAGTGCTCGGTAGTTTTAGTGGTAAAACCCCGAAAATGGCGTGCTTACTACCATAATTCCCGATCATCACGTTGAGAACACCCTGCAGCACCTAACGCCGTTCCCTCCCCGTGCACGCTAAAACGCATTAGAATCGCGAGAGCTACGCCCCGAACCACCCCCGCCTCGCAGTCTTATCTCCACGCCGGGATCGGCCGCTTTAATCATGAACAGAGCGTACACGCGGCTTCCAATCGTCGCGACGCCGGCGTCGGAGGTAACCGTAGGCGGTCGGTCTGTCGGTCGGGGGTGCACAGGGGGGGAGAACGATCATTAATTCCGCATTACGGCTTGTTAACGACAGGCATTACCACTCGATGGAGGTGTTCGCGACGTTCGACGTGTTCGACGGGAACGGCACCAGGCTCGCCGAGGGGCACAAAGCGTCTTTCTGCCTGGAGGACAATCAATGCATGCCGGGCGTGGAGCCGAGGTAAAGCGCAATTAGCCTCGTTACCGAAAATATACATTACCGTTCGGAATTGTTTGGCCACTCGACGATATTAGGATCGAAGGGTTTATGCTCTTACCGTAATAGGAATATTTATCGGTACAATGCATTCGATGCTGTCATTGATGCATGGACAGATTATGCATAGGTTAAACATGTTGAGAATATGTGGAAGTTGTTAAATTTAGTCTTTAAACGATAACTATTTCATTCGCTGAGCAGCAATGAAGTCGATTTTTAACATTGGAGCTACTAGATTTTGAATTTCTTGACGATCGGGAGAAATGACTTTTCAGGGAATCATCGGATTTAGTGGACAAATTAGATTAACTCAATCGAAATTTTAATAAATGTGAATTTATTTTTGTAAGACGATTCTATTGTTGAATATTTCTTTGAATATCCAGATTTCAGATAAGCTCAGTTGGAACTATATACTCCCGATCGATCTTGAAGCTTCAACATCATTTCTTTACTTACGAAGTCTCATTAAGTAATTTAACTTCAATTGCATTTCGTACAAAGCACACTCCCAATGAGATAAACGTATCCAAATACCTCTAGTGTACACTTCTTGTTGTGTTTCACACGCAAGAACGCCTTCGCGCGAGTCCGGCGCTCGATTTTTCTTTTCTCTCCCCCCCTTTTCTCGTTCTTCCCGCCGGCTCTTTTTTTCGATCGGAGCCGGCGATACGAACGTCTAATTGGCCAGCCAATTAAACGACCCACGGTTCCGCGATTTCAGGTACAAATGCGCCAATTACGGTGACCAAGGAATTTCAGTGAACTGCAGCGACGTGTACAAGCACAATATCGATTGCCAGTGGGTGGACATATCGGAGCTGCCGCCCGGACAGTACACGTTTAAGGTACACACGCCGCTTCGATTGTGTTCCGGTGTCCGCGAAATACGTCGCGCGTCGCCGACGTATTCGAGTCGAAGTTTATTCGTCGACGGGTACGCGGAGAATGAGAATTTATCTTGTTTCCTTTCGCTTTGTTTTCTTAGTTATTCGTTAACGTCGGTAGTTGCTCGAAGGAAAGAAATTCCCGGTTTCGAATTCGAATAACGTCAACGTTGGTTTATTGTGGAACTTGTAAAATCTGAGAGTTGTTTTACACCCGATGCATGCTGTCTTGTCATGGAAATAGAGGACCTCAGATTGGTATAATGAAAATGTCTTTAATGTTAGTTGTTACATGTGTGCACACATATCGGTGATAGAGTTTTAACGAGGAAGTAGAGATGTTAATTGGTCGTATCGAAATAATATGGTTATCAACGCTAAAACTACCGAGTTAGATTGACTTTTCGATCTGTAGAAACTCGAAGATTGCATCTATTGCATCCTTAATTAATTTACAATTCAGTTTGGGCATTGCTGAATCAATTTCATGAATAATTCCTCAGAGAAACATCTCTATAATAATTGCGAAGGGAAGAAAGAATGGGTCGTTATGACTGGTAGTTTTAACGTTAATGATATAGAGGTTCTTTTTGTTCTTATACTGTCGGAATATTTCAGTTGTTACGTTCCTTGTAAAAGAATTATTTTAATTATCACTGATTGCTCGATCGTATCGGCCGATTGCTATCTCACTCTGTTTCCATTAAAGTCAAGTGATTTTCATTACACGTACCGCTCGTTTGAACGTCATCCAATTAGGGAGATGGTTCTAAATGAATATTTAATTAATTAACCGATGCACTGTGTATTAACCATTATTTAACTCGCCACGCAAAATTAATATCGGATAATTCATGGTAAATGTTTCGTTCCGTTCGATCGTACTTTCCGCGAACCGCCGGCGAAGAACCATTTCAAATGAGCAATCATCAAATTATCCATTACACTCGGAGCCAACAATATCCACTAATTACCAGGCCCGTCTTAACGCGGAATCGATACCGAATAATTACTAGCAATCGTTTTAGCGCAGTTCCGTCCGATCGAACACCTTTTACCAATCGCGGTAATCACGCTGAAAGTAGGAAACGCCGCTGACTATACCGCAGAGAAGAGACAGCGCGGTCGGAGAATTGATTGCATAACGAAAACATTTAACGGTACAAGAGAAACGGTAATCGGATACGCGGATCGGCATCTGGGGAATGACGTTAACGCTGGAACTATCAAATAGATCGAAATGACACATTCCTGATTTCTCGGTTAGCAGTCGTTTAAGAGGCACAGATGTTTCTCCGGGATATCACTGAACAAGCGATACTTCAATTAAGATACAGCCAATCAAAATTCAACACGATTTGCATAAAAATATAAGAAAATTGCCTCATCATAGTTCGAGCGTTAACTCTCCTAATATCGTCCAGGATTCGCGAAGAAGGTTTAAAGCTAAAAATCTGATCACAGAATTCTGTTGCGTCAATGATTCATGAAAAACAAGTTTATAGAGAATATCACCTGATCTCTAGTTTAACAGTAATGAAAATACTACGAAAGAATTATAAAAGAACTCATGAAACAATTAACACGTTAACAGAAGAGAATTCTTAAGAAACTTCATCAACCGAAATTTCTTGAAATGAATTATGAATATGAAACGCTGATAAAGAAGTCAATAATCGCTGATAACCGGTAATTATACGTTACCTTCATTTTCATTCTTTTGTTTATATTTACATATGAATATCATAAATAAATGATGAGCCTCTGATGGTCCCTACAGCCATGATGGTTAACCTGTTAACCAGTTAACTGTGTTCGACGACTATACACGTCATCGTAAAGCTTGACACGATACTAATTCTTTCAGCGATGAATTCTTCATTTTTTCGTAAACATGTAATCTTTGTTTCTCCTTTGTTTCGCTTTGATCTTTCATTAACATGTTGAATACCGCGCGATTTCATGGCGGAAAATACACAAAATCAAATATTAAATCATTCGATCGAATTGCATTGCTATAACTGCACGTCCATCTAGCTGAACGTCATCGCATTAGATAGTATTGTTTATAATATAGAAATACTTTCGCATAATCATCGTTCAATCGAGCGAACTACGTGCATTCGTCCTGCGTTCGACGAGTACACGCTCCATTTTTATTTTATCGAAGTTTTTCCAACTAAATTCCACAGTTAACTGGTTAATAACTAAGATAAACAAAGAGGAAAAGCCAGATAGACTGCGAACGAATGGCTCCGGACCATAAGACTGAAGCCGGGCAATCGCCGGTCACCATGCCGGAGTGGGTGGGGGCAACGATAATCGAACGATATTTACGTTTTCAGGTCGCGGTGAATCCGGAGTTCAAAGTGGGCGAAATGTCGTTCGACAATAACGCGGCGATTTGTCGTCTCCTCTACACGGGAACGTTCGCCACTGTGCACGGTTGCGTCATGGGCCGGCCTTGACACGGGGGCCGTTACGCGATGATAACGTCGCGATTGCGATTGACCACCGGGGAAAAGAATAAACGAGAAGACGGAATCCGGACCCCGGCGCGATCGCGCGCGTCATCGGCGTTGTTCAGCGGGACCTATTCTTGTACGCGCGGACAATAAATCTTGCTTCCAGTGAACGCGGCAACCTTCCCGCCTTTTCCTTTCGCACCCGCCATTTTGGGGAACCACGAAATCGAAGCGCCACGAGTCTCTTCGTTTGCACTTTTAACCCTTCGCACTCGAATGGTGACTCTCAGTCACCACTTGATTCGACGCGGTAAAACTATAAAATTTGATATTTAATGTCGAACTGTGTATAATGCATCGTTGCGTGGAATATTAGGACAAAAGCTTTGTTTCTCAATTCACTTGTGATTTCTCTTTGAGTTCAGTTAAAAGAACATCGTCTTTGTCTAGTTAGAAAATGTTCCGAGTGCAAAGGGTTAACACGTTGATTACCACGGTGGTCACCGGAACATCGAAATAGAAAATTATAATTTATAAGACAACCGACGTCGAATGAAAATATTCAATGACGTAGATAACTATATTGTAACGTAAGAATTGTAGCAAATGATTAATAATTATTCCTATCTGTCTTTGTTACAACGGATGGTTCTCGTGGCAGTAACGTGTTAATAGTCAATCAATGGTTCTTTGGAATTAACTTTTACATTATTGTATTCTTGTGGTAGCTCGGGGTTTGTTAATTGATCTTTGAATAGCGACTATTGCATACTGTAATGTTAGCTGATATGTGATAGTAACAGATTTCTGAAATGTGAAGAATTTCTTTTAAATTGAATTGATAATTATGTGAACTAATGGGGGTACGGAATTTTGAAAATTATTTTGCAAGGAAGATTAGAGTGCAATGGATATTGTTGATTGCAGTAGATCGATCGTAAAGTTTTGATTAATGTAGAAACGAAATCGCGGAATGAGTATTTACCCCGGATTCCTTGTATCCAGTGACGTAGCCCCCTCTAGAGCTCAACGACTTCCCAGAATTCGTCGTACTCGAACCATTTTATTGCCGCATCAGCGACGAGGACCTGGAGGCTTGAAAAAGTGTCGCGGTTCCGGTAAGTAGCGTGGTTCACTTACTCGATGATTACTCACGCGATATGATAGTTAAGGGGTTAATGCGGTGTGCACGGTGGAAAAAGAGTACAACCTCTTTAGAAGTTTGTTCGAGATAATTATTTTCGTGTCGGGAGGGTAATAATAATTTATCGAGTGTACATTGCTGGGTATACGGTGTCGGGCTGTAGATCATTTTCACGGGTGCGGAAAGGGTTGAAGTCTGTTTAAAAACCATCTTCTTGAAATCGGATACCAGTTTTTTTTTTTAAATCCAACATCGTCTGCTTGACGCGGAGCCTTGATATATTAATGGACAATGTTTCCCGAGATTCTCGATGACAATTTCCATTTCAGAATTTTCAGATTCATTATTTCGAACTTGCGTTCCGTGAATAGAACAATGGCGGAGTGTAACAATGGAACAATGAAAGGTTAAGACAATTATTTTTACGGTGACTCGCGGAGGATAGCGTATATACGCGATGTCAGTGTTAAAAATCAATTTCCCCGGCGCGTTGTCTTAAATAAAACATCGTGAAGCATGAACTTTAATCCGCCGTGTTCGTGGAGCGTTACCTCTCGAGGGAAGTCGAGCAAAGATTGCTAATTAAAGATTACGACTAGATTACGGAAGTTCGTGAGAATTCAAATTTTTACAGGCGAACTGAAAGAAGCTGGAATTAAATAAAAGTCCGTTTTAGAAGTGGTTTCATTACGTTGCGGATAAAACGAAACAATATCATGTACAGATTGATTCTATTGAATTTTTTCATTTGAAATTCATCGGACGCCGGGAATCTTATGAAATTCTGCGGTTTAATTATGACTCAATCGTGATTAAGCAATTCAGTAATTATGACTGATGAACAACAGAAGCAATCAAAGCAAATGCAAACAACTGGCACCATTAGCTTAATAATCATTAGTCACGGAATGATTAGACTCCGCTGAATAACTTATCTTCGAGAAGCTTCCATAACAAAAGATAAATTCAAGTCTTCCTCCGAACGATTACAAATTACGGTGTAATTGATGATTACCGATTTATCTCGGTAACAATTTGTTAAACAACAACCAATTATTAGACTGCGGCACTTCATACATATATTCAAGATAATTGAGAATTGGCGAATTACGGGGAACCGTTTGAAATTAGTAAACATTAAAATTCAATGTCTACGTTACTCCTATCCTAGGATTAATTATTCTTTCATCCTAATTGTTATAAAACGTTCTACGAAAATTGGAACTTGCGTGAACATGACTATAACTATTATAATCACCATTAACCCCTCGCTCTATAATTTCTGACAACCCCCATAAGAACTACACTAATCTCAATCACTTCCCACAAGAAAATTCTACGTTCATCCCATATCCACGTCATTATTATATTTCAAACATTAACAAATTTTGTACGTAATATTTACCTTCTATTAACATAAATCAAACAATTCTCGAATCCATTACATTTTAACATCCTTACCGAAGTTGTCAAAAGACACCTAAAATTTCATCTTAAAATTATGTTCCATGTTTAGTTGTATATTCTGAACTTTCCCACTTTTGCAATAACGATTACAAAAATCATCTATAGAAAACAACCAATATTCAATTCAGGAAGAATAATTAAACCGAGCAAATAATTGTAAGTTAACATTTTAATAGGTGTCCTCTGACATCTCCGCTAGAAATAGTTAACTCCTTGCCCTATGATTTATTTCTGAACTATAATCGATACAACTACTATCATTAATAATTGATTAGGAAAAGAACAAATTTGGATGCATTCTATCTACGTTTACTCTAAAGCTTAACGATTGACAACAGAAAAGTAATACTTAATTTATATCTTCAAAAACTCAATAATACTTAAGTTTCTCAGATTCATTTAAAAAATTTCATCACAAATCTGACACGATATTGTAAGACAAGGGGTTAATCTTCAAAGCAGAAGTGTAACGATCAAATACGGAAGTGTATCAGGAGAATAATCAATTATGAAATACGTAATCAATCGTTGGCCAACTCTAGCTTCAAGGTCGGATGCTCATTCTGTCTACGTTTACTCTAAAGCTTAACGATTGACAATAGAAAAGTAATACTTAATTTACATCTTAAAGAAATCAGTAACACTTAAGTTTCTCAAATTCAGTTTAACACGCTGCGTACCGGCTAATTTTCAGAAAACTGAACCGTGCGGATGGCAATTTTCACTAAGGTCAACTTACATCACTACACATAGAAAAACTCAGATATCATATTCTTCTGTAATATATTTTAAATAGATAATCAATTCGAATTAAATTTTATATTATTTTCAGTGCTGTGGTAATTAGCGAAGTTGCACAGCTAAGTGTCTATATAAAAACGAGATTTCTCGTCACCAGTACGCGATGTGTTAAAATTTGTATCACAAGTCCGACATGATATCGTAAGACGAGGCGTTAATCTTCAAAGCAGAAATACAACGATCAATTACGGAAGTGTAACAGGAGAATAATCAATTATGAAATACGTAATCAATGGTTGGCCAACTCTAGCTTCAAGGTGCTATAGATCGGCGCCTTAGCCGCGCAACCAGCCGGACAGATCGAAGCTGTTCCAGGACGACCTCCTCGCGGCTGATGCTCGCCGCGCACGGAATCTCAAGTTTTGGAGTCTAGGACCGAATTTATAGACCTCGGGCCCCCCGCGCGCTATCCTCATAGTTTGTTCTAGATTTTAAACTGCGACTACGCTAATAAATGAACAATTCAGGAGAGAGAGAGGGCTCGGCCGTGTACCGCATTGCTACCAGCCTAGTCGATACTCGGTGTCCTGAAATACTGGATTCGCTCGTCCTTCGGACGAACGTCTATTTCCAAGATCTCCCGATTCTCAGGCATTTCACATTAAAACTATTAGACGAATCGATATCATCTATTCCCGACATCTTCTTTTTGCGATTATTGAAAACGTAACAAACGCTCCTTTGAGAAATTACTCAAGAAACTGACTCAACGCCGTGAAAACTGAAATGTAAATCGATTCAATTCATAGAGAACTCGATTTAGTTAAGTCAACTAAAAATCGATTAGTTAATCGGTTTCAGGTTGAAACAATGGCGGAAATTGTTAACTTGATATCGAGTTCTCTTCGTATTAATGATGTCTCGCTTTGGATTGACTTTTCTGATTTTTTTATCTTACACTTGGAGGATGCTTTTAACAAAGGGGAACTAGTGGAATAGTCAATTGAATGATCACTGGTTACGAGACTGGAAGATTGATCTTTTGTGAATGTTTATTTGTTGTATTAGGGAACTATTGATGTAACGTATCGTACACAAGGGAAGACATGTTATCGTTTGGACAGTGATGGAATTTTATTAAATAAAAGTTTATTTTACTCTGTGTCGATGAGTCTGAATGAAGGATTGAGTTTTTGATTAATTTTGTATAAACGGAGAAAATTCTTTTTGCAAGGGAAAGTTATTGTTTGTATGGTGAATGCAGTTATGGAATATAGAAGGCGAAGTGTGTTTTCTCAGAAGCAACTTATTCTTTTGAAGTTCCTGTAAGTGTGTAACCGGAGAAAGAGTTAGAGTTTATGCGTGAAATCATCCTGTCATCGAATAACACAAAGACGGAATTCGGAAGTTTCAATTGGATTGCTCTATTTTCCCTTTTTTTTAGCGAAGACGCTGTCACCTTCGATCATGATTGTCTATAATCTAATGATTAGAAGCAGCGGAGAGTCAGTCGCTTCACCTACTTTTTCGCTGCACTGAAAAGGGGCCTTGGCTGTCAATTAACTCGGCAGAATAGATTCACTTTTATTATGAAAGTTGAATAGCACGCGGCTAACCTTGCAAAGAAAATTACTCGTCGACAAATTAACGAAAAGAACCAAAAATTCAATAGAAACGTCGAACAAACTAATTATCCACGATGCATCCCATTACATATCGAACTAAATACAAATTTCATTACATCACAGTCTATAACGTTGAATTTTCTCGATTATTTGTTATTAACTTAACGCATGAACAAATACAACCCATTTTCTACCAAGTACACAAAACGTTAATTGCGTCATTCACGTTAATTAAAACTTTCCAATAAACAATATCGCTTTCTCAGAATTTACCCAACCTCGATTTCAAATTCGCGTTGGATAACATAGCATTCTACGTTGAATAAAATATTCCGAATTTATCAAGAATCATAATAACATTCGAAAAACATATCTCTTCAAATTAAAAATATCAAAAAGAACCATCTATCAGAGCAACCCTGAAGCTCTCTTTAAGAACCTAGATGGAAACGTCAAAAAATTCCAACAAGAAAACACGAATCATCCCCGTCGGGAGCTCATCGTCAATCGATCATCGCACAACAAAAATCCGAGGAGCCTCGTTAAAGACACCTCGAGTATCCCATTCGAATCCGTCGAGCTGCCAAAAACGATTCCACCCCGGCGGACGGTAGCAGGAGGTCTTAAGCGTTCGGTCTCGCATCGATTTCAATGAAACGGAACGCCGACACAGATCTCGAACTGGGTTATCCTCTCATTAGAGAGAGAAAGGGTGGAAATCACCGGCCGCGATTGTCCGGTTCGATCAGCGGCCGTACCCTTGATCCGCGGGGATGAAAAAAAGATAAAGAAGAAAAGAGGCGAACGGAGGAACAACGGGCGGAGCCGCGACACGCCGCGTCAAAGAAAACGCAGCCCCGGGCTGTCAATTAGATCGCGTGCGCGCCGCTTAAATGGCTGCAGAACGCAACGTGACCGTACGCGTAATACGTTTAAAAAAGGGGGAGAAGCCCGAACTATGGCTTCCGTGGTGGTCACTGTCGTGTGCAGTGCGTTGCCAGCTGCTCCCTTCGGCGCGGTCATGAAACTTTCATATCGTTGCTGCACGACACGCCGAAAACGCGCTCAGTCGGGACTTCGGGCAGCGGACTAGCTGCGTCGGGCCCTTGTCTTCGTCGAAGTTTCGGGCAGAGATTGACTTCGTTCGCGGTGAACGGTGATAGGGGAAGTGCGAGGTCTGCAGGCGCTCTGCTAGTAGCGAATGTGTCATCGTTCATGTAAATATGACTTGTCTTGGCATTTTTTATGAACGTTCAAGTTGTTTGCTGTGGGGACTGTAGATGATGTACTAACGATGGAGGATTAGGTCTAGAGATGTGTCTAAATTTTTTATGAATACTGAAGTTTGCTGTGGGGACTGTAGATGATGTGCTGATGATGGATTAGGTCTAGAGGTGTGTCCAGCGAATATATTCTGATTCACGTAAATATGACTTGTCTTGAAATTTTTGATGAACACTGAAGTTGTTTTCTGTGGGGACCGTAGATGATGTGCTGATGATGGAGGATTAGGTCTACGCGTGTAGCGAGTGTCTTGGTTCACGTAAAAACGATGACTTGTTTTTTCGAAGTTTCGGGTGGACACTGAGTTTGTTTGCTGTGGGAACTGTAGGCAAAGTGCTGATGATGGAGGATCAGGTCTACTGACACGGCTGATAAGTGTCTTCGTTCACGTAGGGATGATGACTTATCTTTTCGAAGTTCTGGATGGAAACTCGTTTTTCTTGTTGCGAGGACTACAATGATAGGGGATGTAGATGATAGAGGGTTAGGTGTATAGATGTGTTCAAGTAGCGAATGTTCTTTGTTCGAGTAAATATGACTTGCCTTTCCGAAGTTTGGTATCGAGAGTGATTTTGTTTGCTGCGAGGACTATAGTGATAGGGGACGTGGATGACAGAGGGTTCCTATAGGTGCGCCGCGAGTAGAGGATGTATCTTTGTTCGTGTAAACATGACGACGGTGTGACTGTTGACTGGAATTTCGGTTGCTGGAATTTCTTACTTTGATATTGTTCGCAGGCCTGTGTTTCTGGCTGGAATTTCTTTATGAATTTCAGTGGAGGAATTAGGGGAGCTCGGAGGAAAGGAATTAGGGGATTTTGAGCTATTTGCTTGGAAGTACTGACTACGTATGGTATTAGGACTTATATTATTGGATATTTGTTGGTTTGTACTTCGCGAGGTTTACGTTAGTTCTCGTTAGTTTACTACGAAGCAGTAAAAGTGCTATGTTCAACGATGAAATTTCGTAGAAAGTATTTTTATCGGTTTCGAACTTGTTTACTGGGATTCGCAGTGTAACCATTAGATCCGTTCATAAACTTCCCGAAATTCCTTTTCATATTTCATTGTGTCTGCCAGGATAATCGAAGTTTTTGACTTGGCTCGCTACCAAACTATGAAACTACCATCTCTAACGCGCAGTGAGACAATCAATGAAATTTACAGAAGCTAGACAGTAGTAGAATCCTTAAATTCATTGAAGGAAAAATAATATCGCTCGGGTCAATGTTGAACCAACCGTGACATTGAACATTCAATGAGAAACGAGTATAAATTAGATCGCTGGACGGTTCTCAAATTAATAAATACCTTGAATCTTATCGCTGCTTTTTTAGTGCTGGAAAATTCTCGTGAACGACGATATTAAATTCGGGAAGTGACTGTTGAAGATTGATCGAGGACTGATTATAAATCGATTACTCGTCGAAGAAAGATTACATCGGCTGCGTCTGAAGAGGACAGTGAAGGAGAAATTGGAATTAATCAAAGAGCGATCATGACTGAACTGAACAGCATCGAATGCTTCTCAGATTGAACGAGGTCCGCATAGATTGGCACTGAAGGAGATCCCGAAAAGAACGAAGGGAGATTTGGCACCGGTGAATGCAAGGTGAACACTCGACCAAGAAAGAATTCTCTGTACGAAAGTTTAAGAGGCAAGAAACCTGAGTTCGAAGACTTACTCGAAAGAGGATCAAATGCATTTTCTTTGTCGAAGAGCAACCTCCACGCTGTTAAGGAGGTTTTAAAGCGGATCAAGATTTCGAAACACTGGAAACCAGTGTGCTCGACGTCAGACAACGATGATAAGTACTTTCATCCTTTCACCGAATGAAAAACGCTCGCCGTGAAAAAGAGAGGAATCTAAAATTGTAACGAAGCTGAGAGAGTTAAACTCAAAAAATAAAGCTGGAGAGGACTGAACCCATTCCCCGGAATGAGATTTACTGAACTACATCTTCAGAAAATGTCTCTCTTTAACAGATTCTTGGGAGAAATGTGATTCCCCGCCATCTAGGAGAAAAACGCGCGCGCTGGAACGAAGGACTTCGCAGCTTTATTTATCTTTGAAGTAAGAATATATAGACCGCTGTGTTAAATATTTTATTTGAGCATTATAATTCAATTTCTAGTGTGTTTATAAAGCTTACCAATATTTGATTGATGAATTTATCAATAGCATTTACGCAATATTCTTGAAACTAACATAAAGAGTTCATTTTACTGGAGAAGTCTTCAAATTGAAAATAACTTAATGAAGTAAATTCATGGTAATTCATACCCGAATTTTTATAAAATTTCAAATATTTTTAATATGCGACCTCGTTCGATTTCCAAATAACTGTTTAAACTACTCACAATCTCTCAAACATTTCTCCAGCTTCACCTCTTTTAACCCTTCACACAAGTTCTTCATTAATCTTCCACGTACGCTTTCAATCCTTTCAACAAATCAATACCAGAAAATCTTACAGTATCATAGTGGCTCACGACAAACATCGCAGCAAATATCCCGTCCCCTACAATTCAAACACAACCAACTTCGATACGTTCGAAAGTCAATACGGCAACATCTACAATAAAACTTGTATCATGTTCAAGCAAGAAGACCCACTAAGCAAATTAACTTGCAGCTCGAACGTCCACGGACTACTCTCGAGAAATCTATAACTCCGTCTACCATTTTCATTTAGCGTGTTACCATCAATTACCCAAGAGACGACGTTTCGTCTCAGCGAAACAAGACCAGAAGCACGCTGCCAAAGCGAACAAGCAAACATTTTTCATCATTACCCCACACGTCGCTCATTATTCTCGAAACATTTTTCAGGGAAACCCGACAGCCGGCGGAGAGGAGAAAAAAGAAACACCGTTCCTCCAGGTGTCCGTAACAAAAGCCCCGGACTCGGTACCGAATCAATAATGCTCTATCGCCATGGAAAGTGCGTGAGGAAGGGTGTCCAACAACCGTGCCGCCCCCCGTCCGCCTCGTCTAAAGGAAGAAACGTTAAAGAGACCGTCGCCGATCAATCGCGGTGTCGCGAAAGGGGAACAACCAGGTCCGCAGCTCTAGGATCCACCGTTTCCATTAATGCTGCCGGCCGATAATCGTAAACAGAGGCGGAGGATCGTGCCCAGGGGCAATTGTTGGCCCCGTAGTGGCGGTTACCACGCGATTTGATGGATCCGATCGGGATTAATCCCGCGGATCACGCTCCAGCGGCCGAACACTGATCGCGATAAGTGACCGCGTGCCCGGCCGCCATTTTGTCGGGGCGCGCGGGCTACGATTCCGCCGAGTGCGAGCGGAACGGCTAAACTTGAAGTGCGAAGCTACACGCTTTGTTGGGGAGGAGCTATTTTGAATGGTAGTATCTATGCAGTAATTGTTCGTCCTTTGATATTTTGCTTTGGGTGAAACTGAAAATCGCAGTACCTTTTTGAGAAACTGAATTCGGACCTACTAGCTAGAGAAATTTCTTGTTTAACCAGTTAACTGTGGAATTCAGTTGGAAAAACTTCTCGTTCTGCGCGCAATAAAATCGAAAAATGGAGCGTGTACTCGTCGAACGCAGGACGAATGTACGTAGAGTATATTTTAATGAAAGATCAAAGCGAAACAAAGAAGAATTACATGTCTTTGTGAAAAAATAAAGAATTCATCGCTGAAAGAATTAGTATCGTGTCAGGCTTTACGATGACGTGTATACTCATAAAACACAGTTAACTGGTTAAAAATATCATTTCTAAGGTGTTCTGGGTCATCGAAGTTGAAAATAATTATTCTTCTTTAAGAAAGTTAGCTAGCAAACAGTTAGCAAGATTTGTTATCTAAAAGTACCATTTCGTGGGTATTTTAGATTGTCGAAGAAAAAAAGGTTATTTTGTAGAAGAACGAGTGGTAGGGTTAGTTTTACGTTAAGTCTGTATCAGGTTCATTTTCGTAATGGAAAATCATAATTCTTAGCTTCACTGACTCGAAATATCTTCGAAATGATGGATTTAGACCACACATTTTGCTACCCGGATATTATATTGTTCCCTGTACATACTCTTCTTCCTCAGAGAATGAGACGAAAACATGGTGAACGGTGATTAAGGGTTTTACAGGGTTGACTGGACACGTTTCTCGTGGTTCCGCGATGGCGTCCGTCACTTCCGGGATCGAGTGAGAGCCGCTCGAGCGGAAAGGAAAGGTCCCGTTTCTTCCCCTTCGATGGATATCGATTAAACACGCCGCGATGAGGGAATCGAGTCGGTTCTGGAGACCCTTCGGTCGCAACGATCATTTCACTTGATGGCATTGCGCACCGATGTTTTTGCGCGGACATGCACGACCGAGGAATGATGGTTTTCATGATGATCGCGGTTAAGGCGGTGCTGTATTTGAATCTTTTTTGGACAGCGATGGCGACGGAGGAACAGTGCCCGAGGAACCGTAGCTTGTTCGAGATTCCTGGCGACGCTGTTCTGTCGTGTAAGATGACGATTACTGAATCGCGAATATTCATGCAAATTTGTCAAACGCACAATTATTTGATCGTGTAATGTGAAATGTCGGATTTCGCGACAGAGGATCTTTATTCGATGTTCTAAACGATGTTTGACGCGTTTTTAACGAATATATTTCTTTTTAGAAAAATTTTGAATGTTTAGAATTAATGAATCGTAAGATAGTATTGTAAATTACTATTTCGGGTTTGCCACACGGCTCATTTTGCAAAGAAACATCATCGAGGCGAAATTTTTCCAATCAATGCATTATTTCTAAGTTCGAATTCATATAAGGAAAATTACACGATTTTTAATTTCAATTAATATAGAATGACATCAACAGGTGTATGTTTTATATATTTCTTCAACTTAATTGTGTTTTATATTTTATTCTATTTCTCACGTTCGCGTCTATTATGAACGCATGGAACATTGCAATTCGATGATTACTGTTTATGGAACTTTGGCACGAGTACGTGATAATTCGCAGTTTATATAGCGTTTGAAATATTTGCACGATACGTTCGCAACTTTAATCCTTTGCTGTATCTGTGATTCTTTCCCCTGATTAAACTCGCGAAAGTTATTTTATTGGTAAAAGTTCCCTAATGTGTGCAGTATTAATCGGAGTAAATTTTTTGTGAAGTAATAAAGTCGGCATTATTAAATTTCAGTGTTCCTGGACATAAATCATGGACCATATTGCAATATCACTTCCGCGAAAGGACTCGAAGAAGTTTTCACTGCGTTCTACGTGGTGCACACTCTGAACAAATACGATTTCGTGCCTGGATATTCCATAGGTGCGTCATATTGTATTCAAGTTTTTCAATTTTCATATTCATATTCATATTCATATTCCGGTTTTCGATTTTCGTCCTTGAACGATTCAATATCAAACACCATAAACGATTTAGTAGCAAAAATCTAATTTCCTTAATTCTAAGATACTTAGAACTTAATTAATTACCAACCACCTACTGAATAATATTCAAATCTCAAATTCCAAGATCTTTCATTTTCCAAAGATAACAAATCAATATCCTTCGATAAATAAATCGAAAGTTCCAACGTCAAACAACAGAAAATTACCAAGAACCTACTGAATAACATTCAAATCAGAATTTCCAAGATCTCTCATTTTCATTACTAATGAAACAATATCCCTCGACAATGCAATTAATAATTCCACCGACAGACAACAGAAAATTACCGACAACCTACTGAATAATATTCAAATCTCAAATTCCAAGATCTCTCATTTTCCAAAACTAATGAAATAATGTCCCTCAGTTATCAACAACCTACTGAATAATATTCAAATCTCAAATTCCAAGATCTCTCATTTCCCAAAGCTAATGGCACAATATCCCTCGATAATGCAATCAATAATTCCACCGGCAAACGCCTAAAAGAAAAGTGAAAATGTTCGATCCAGGGGTGAAAGTCTACGACACCTGCCACGACGAAATGACCGTGTACAAACAGGCGCTGCAGGTGGCGGTGGACACCGACTGCGTGGACAATTACGATCTAGGGATCCTATTGGCGTCGGAATATGCGACGATCCTCGAGCCGCTTCGTAATTACAGCGTCCTTCCGGTCAGCACGTACAAAGAGCAGAACCTGACGAGGCCCTTGATCAACCTGATGGTCCACTACTTGGCCACCAGGTTCGAAACGATCGATCTACTACTGGTCGACTCGGATTTCCCGTTGAATCTGTTCCTGGATACTACAAAGGAGGCCGGGATCTGCGTGAAAAGTTACGCGAACACCGTCGAGCTGGATGACAACGACACCGAGGCAGTGATCGCCGTGATTGGCAGCAGAAACGAGATACGACAGTGGATAGAGAGGGCCGAGAAGGTGCAGGGACCTAAGAAAACTTGGATCGTTCTGCCGATCGATGGATCCAACGCAAACGGTGAGATTTTATATGGTGTTTTCAAATGTGATTCGTGTAATTATAGTTAACACATTGCGCGCCGGCCCATTAATCGACTGTTTAATTGCTAGTCCTACATTAATGTAACATTTTAGATATGTATAACACAAATCCAAACTAAAATGACAAAATCGAATTCCTTACTCTTTTTCGCAAGTTACAAATTTCGGTTTGATTGATGTTTAAAAATATATTAATATAATCATCGGCGCTCGCGTTTCTAGTAGCTGCAATTTAATCGGCGTTCAATGTGTTAAGTAGATAATGGATAGGGAATTAACGTGTTTCGTTATAGTAAGATCTATTTCCTTTATAATACAGGAAAATAGTATTAGAAATAATTATTAATATTTTGGTATTACAATGCTCATATTACACTATTATCTAGCTTCTCGTGTTACTGAATTTTGATTCAATAGCAATTTTCCTATTGTAATTGTTTTCGAGGAATTTGGAAGCTCCGGTCACCGGTGACCAACGGCAACGTGTTAATAGAAAGTTAGTAAAAAGTATTAATAGGAAATTAGTCAAAGATAGCAATAGGAAATCGATAGAACACTTGTAGAACCGGTAGAAGGTATCAACAGAAAATGAATAAAGTCAGTAAACGATATTAATAGAAAATCACCAGAAAATGAGACTAATGAGTAAAGAGTATAGATACAATATCAATAGAAAATTGATAAAAACTGAATAGAAACTATCAATAGAAAACCAATAGAAAAATATCAGAAAATTAATAAAAAAACAAAGTTTACATTTCAACAACCTCTGTTCTCGCGTGTTTCATCATTGTAATGAATCAAACACGTGAAACGCTCAAAGGGAGTGACTAATTAAAACGAAGTAAATTATCTATCATTACTCCGAAAAAAATTGCAACGCGAGGAGAACCATGAGAAGCCGAAAGATGAGAACCCATGAAGTAAAGAAGAGTTTATAAAAAGGATGCACCGCTGCAGGGATCGCCGAGAATTTGTCAAGATGGTGGAGGACGCGTGAAGTATCACGCTACCGATATTATTTTAAAGGTTCCCCGGCGCTCATGCTTCGCACTTGTTGCTTCCGCCGGTTTACCACATAGTTTTAATATGCCTCGCTTTGCCCACGAAATAGAGGGAATCGAGTTGTCGAATGGTTTAACGCGGACGGATTTATACGTTGCTGCGCCACCGAAATCGGTTTAAGTTCACGCGATCGATTCCCGAAGGTTCTCAGGCGTAACAGTCTATTTCCATCCTTCCGAAGAACGTCAGAGGAACGAGCTCGTCGAACCTTCTAGAATTCGTCGAACTTCGAAACTCCGTGAACAATTTCAAATTTGTCTGAACTCTGATTACCCTAATATACGAATTAACACATTGCGTACTGGCAACGAAAAATATAAAATTTGATTCAAGATTATCTATTTAACCAATTGCGGACGAAGAATCTTTAAAGTATACAAAACATTCTGCAGATTCTGCCAAGTTACTCGAATGGTTAAATAACAGAGGATAAGGGAACTATGTACTGATTTCTTGCTGTTTGAGTAGTTCAATCGTTTGTTTGTTACTTAGTATTCCAAAGATAAGTTTGATGTCAGCAAAATGTCGACATTCGTTAGCAGAGGGTTAAGATACATTACATAACAATATGATATTTGAATTTTTGTATGTATAGTGATATAAGTTGATCTCACTGAAAATTTCCATCCGAACAATTCAGTTTTCTGAAAAGTGGTCGGTATGTAATGTGTTAACACGTTGACTGCCATGTCGGTCACCCATGACCGGAGCTTCCAAATTACTTGACAATAATTATAATTCGTCCGATAACTAATGTCGAATGAAAGTATTTCATAGCGTAAATTACTAGATAACACTGTAACGTACGCATTGAGACACCAAATAATAAGTAACTGTTCTTCTTTATCTTTGCTACAAAAGAATAAGTGATACATAAAATTCTGAAGGTTTTCGTGACGGTCAACGTGTTGAATTCGTTACGCGAAAATTGCCTTCTACATTAAACCTTCGAAACAGTAATCTATGTAAAGAACGTTGAAAACACTGGAGACTTCCATTGTTCACTTAAAAATATTTTAACTGACATCTGACTTTTGACACTGGTTAATAATACATAAACAATTCCTTCTTCGAACTTATAAATTATGAAACAAATTAAGGTAGTTTGGAATTTATGAAATACTAAAAGAGTCTAAAGAAGTGGTTACTAGAATAAGTTTCGATTTTTCCTCGTTCTATCATTTTGTTGCATCCAATCAAGAGTCGCCTGTCGAGTGCAAAGGGTTAACACAATTCTGCCAAGTTTCTTATCTTTTTATCAGTTCCGACTTACCCATTGTTCCTCCGTTTGAGTCCGCTCCCCAAGGAAACATCGCAAGCTACAGCGTCCATGTTGCAGACCTGGTTCCCCCAGGATCGTACGTCATAAGGACACCGTCGTTCGACTTGAATCTGCTGCAAGAAGCGTCCTCGACGGATGATTTCCTCGAGGCAGCCAGCTCTTCGGTGATACACTCGTCCCGACTGTTGGGTATCGGGAAAACGATGGTCGAATTGGCCCAGACTCTCCAGGACCTTCAGAAGCGAAACTGTCCCCGTGGCATGGAGACGCCTTGCGTGATGCCGCGGTTCAATCCCAATTCGGGACAAGAGATTCGCAACGGGGAGGTCTACCATGCTCTGCGTGTGTTGCCGAAATTGCACTCGATTAAGTACATCGTGGCGATGAAGAGCCAACAAGAGCTGATCGACATGGCCGCCTACAGGTGGGGATGGGCTTAGTTTAGAGTGTGCTCCATATTATGCTTCTGCTCTTGGATTACTGGCACGTGGTTTTCCTGAAAAAAATAGGAAAATATGGTTATTGGGTTGTAGTCAGTTTTGTTGTATTTAATGTTTTCTCTTTTTTATTTCTGTTTGTTTGGTGGTATTACTTGAGGTCACATGATCATGTGATTTTTCTGAAAAATAGGAAAATATGGTTATTGGGTTGTAATTAGTTTTGTTATGTTAAATATTTTCTCTTTTTTTATTACTGTTTGTTTAGTAGTACAGTATTATTGTTTTAATTGAGATTGACCACTAAATTCAGATTTCCTATAGAGTGGAACCCGCGAACATGAAGTTCCGGATCACTCCTGAATCAAGAGTGCCCAAAATGCCGAAGCTTTGCTTGAAGAAGTACGCAAAGAACTGCGAAGGTTGCGAGAACTTCAAGAAGAGGTTTGGCCCCCGTGGTGTGACCAAAGGTTTGCATAAACGACGCTTTATAATTGACAGTTTTAAACAATGTTATGAAATGAGTTTTGATATTTGGAGAAAGCGTTATAAAAATCCTTATTACAACACTTATCCACCTCAAATTCAAAAGTCTCTAATTCCTTATCTACTATCTCTAATTCCTTATCTTCTTCGCTACTTCAAACCCTCAAAAACACAAAGAGATCCAAACTCAAACATTTTCACATATCCAAACATAACAAACATTCCCAATCCACCTCAAACTCAGAAATCTCTAATTCCTTATCCTCTTCGCCATTCCAAATCTTCAAAAACACACAAAGAAATCCAAATTCAGACATTTTCACATATCCGAGCATAACAAACATTCCCAATCCACCTCAAACTCAAAAGTCTCTAATTCTCTATCTACCATCTCTAATTCCTTATCTTATTCGCCATTTCAAACTCTCAAAAACATACAAAGAAATCCAAATTCAAACAGTTTCACATATCCAAACATAACAAACATTCCCAATCCACCTCAAACTCAGAAATCTCTAATTCCTTAT